TACGGCTTATGTTATTTTATGCTGTTATTTTTTTTAAAGAACAGTCCCGCTGGGTTTCTTGCTGGTTCTTCCCAGGACAGCGGTTATTTTCCGAACCATTAGTAAATTAAACAACAGAGTGATTTTCAATAAATATTATTTATAATCTATATTTAACTAAAAGTTTCTGGTTTTGATAAAGATATTGATTTTTCACCATTTTTACGAAAACCAAAAAAAACACATCTGTTATGCCAAAAACCTATTTTTCTTAAATAAAATAACTGCAAAGATATTTTAGTCATGTAGTAAGTATCCTTAGCTACACCGTGTGACATTTTATTGTAAATAAAGTACTAGTTTTCCTTATTAATCGTCAGTTATCTATAAAGAACGGCGCGACGTCATCTTGTCTACATTAACAAAATGATTCACTATAATATCTAAGTATAACACTATAAGCATCGAACTATATTTAGTAGTAATACCTCAATGACTATAAGCCGTAAACTTTAATCATCTCCTTTTGGTCTTTACTGTACCTACTTGTGTTTGTGATTGATCGTTATACATTGCTTTTCTACTGCTTTACAAGATATAAACCAGTTTAGTTAAAGCGGCCATGGATATAACGAACGATGAAGGTCATTTTAAACTTGTTGTTAGTACGTCCACATTCAATTTCCTTCTGCGAATGTGCAGTCTGCTAACGCTTTGGACACTGGCTGTACGGCTCGCGACAACACCGTATACCGGTTTTAAAAAAAAGTTCCTTACCGGCGTGTTCGATTGTGTTAAATCTAATAAAATAATAACTGTCATTAGTTTAATTTTAACTTCATGGATGACAGGTAAATGTTTAACCGTGCATTATGTTATTACAGATTTCTAGATGCGATAACGATAACCGCATATTTTTATGTTTATATTTTATTTTAGATATATTTTCGTGTAGTCAGTCCGCTTTGTGAGAGCTCGCCGTGTGGGTGCCGCCTTTTATTTTTGAATATTCCGAAGCTGGATTTTTTATTTAGATATGTCATTCACCCCAGTGTAAGTGGGAGTCTTAAATAGAGAATACCTACATAATTTTACTTTAATTGCCAATCATCAGTCACGTGTTTATGTCTGTGATTACTTTGCTCAAAAACTTATGCGTTTATGCAGCTTTTAAAATTTATTTAATTTTTTAAAAGTTTGACCATAATTTTTGATATTTTTTAAAATATTTTATCATATTTTTGACGGCTAAAAATTTTAAGTGAAAATTAAAAAGTGAACTTTAAGTAGTGCGTTTTATGAATGATTTGATTATGTCTAATATTTTTAAATGTCCATTAAATCAATCTAAAAAATTAGGTAAAATACTGTTTCATATTATAAAAATATTATAATTATGATATTTATAATAAAAATAATTTTTATTCTGATACATTTCACTATAGTTTCAGATTAAAAATTTGTTAAATAATTTACAATTTTAGTAATTAAACTGATATAACAAAAAATTAAAAAGGGTTATGTAGGTACCATATAGTTTTTTTTTTATTTTAAACAGAAAAGCTTATAGTAGTAACAGCACAAAATTCACAAACGTAAATCCAGCGCCTTCACCTCACCTACTAACACACTTACGCACAAAATGTACCTATACTGTGTATGACTCAGTCATGGGAAAGTTGGTTTTGGCTTGTTTTCTGTATTATTTTTGTATTTTTTGTATAACAATAAAATCTTGTAACTGTGTTTAGGAGTTAAAATTTATAATTTCGTACATACCCAATTCTTTATATTTTTGAAATAATACCAAACCTTATGTTAATTTGATTACAGTTTGATTTTTAACCGTGTAGTGGCGGTGTTAGAATGTCCACTACCCCATATCGTCCCGCGGGTGTCGTGAGAGGCGACAGAGGGAAACACATCAGGAGATGGGCAGCAGCATCTTCCTGATGACAACTTAAAATAATAAAAAACTGCGGTTGACAACCCGCTCGCCAAGCGTGGCAACTGTGGCAAAATCACCTCTATTATGCAATACATAGGGAGGCCTATGTTCAACAGTGGACTTTTATAGGCTGTGATGATGATGATGATGATGATGATTTTTTTTATTTTGAATTTATTGCCTGATTTAATATTAATAAATTATGACACATCATATTACTTTCTAAGATATTTACTTGTGTGGGAGTTTGTGCAACACCGTAGTAATATTGTGTATTCTATGGCAATACTATAATTCATGTTTATATTTAATTTTTTTTTACAATTTAAGCCAGCACTTGAATAAAATCACACCTGATGGGGCAGGTGTTCTTGTCAGTGACAAGAAAAGCCTAATCATTCTTGCCTGAAAATTAAAAAATAAAAAAAAAACATTTGAAGATTGATTGAAAATTTCATGCGTATATTTAATTTGAATCAAATGTTTAGTAGCTTGAAGCGTTTACTAAATAAAAATGTGTCGTGTAACCATACATTACATCAGTGGTAACATATTAGGTACATAACATTAAAAATACATGCATAATGTTTTAACGAGTGGAACAGTTTTATTATCCCCTGCGGTTTGACCGCACCTGTACATTTTACTCATCAGGCTAAATATCCGACAAGAAGCACAGAAGGGCTGGGCATGGGTGTGGAGCTATTGTAGGCATCGTTTACAATAAAACTGACATTTTTAACAAAAAGAATCGCTTAAACCCACTAACTGTAACGAAACGAATTAACTAAAATAAAATATATATAATATGCATATTATTTTTAATTGAAAAACTAAATTTAAGATTAAATTGACAGTATAAAGACTAGCTTTGCTTTTATAGAACAAGTCTTCTTTTTTTCGATACAATACATGTGCCCTTAGCACAATCTTTTGAGACGTATCGTCATATACCTAATAAAATAAAAAATGTGAACAGCGCCCCTGACGAGCGTATATGGAACTGTTTTGTTTTAGTTTTTTAAACACAGTCTTTCGATGTGAATGTGGAAAATTCATGCTAGACTGTAGTGTACACGCAAAATAAGAATAGAAATGGATTTACTGACAATTTCACTCTCTAAACTTTATACGGCTCAATCATAAATTATTAGCATTTTTGTAATAAAATAACATTCTTTTTATTTCAAAATGTATCTTTTTAATATTTATCATGTTAAACACGACACACTTTCGAATACACAACGCGACAAGCCGTGGGAGCTCAAGGGCTAAGCGCTTGTCGTAAATTTCAAAGTACGCAATCAACACGGGTTTGATTCCCGCTGGTAATCATGAAATTGTTGTTTGCAATTTTGAGTGCTGATTTATCACGTGCTCTGTGAAGGAACAGTGTGAGTAGTCCAGCGTTTCTCGAGAAATTAAAAATAATCCCCTAAAATTCCATTGGGGTAACGCGGCGGAAACTTCCTCTCCCTAAAACTTTCAGAAGGTAATGAGAGAAGGCCCCCAACTAGTAGTGGAACTTAATGATGTAACTTATTTACGTATAGGCTGGAAATTGACTTTACACACCACACTTGAAGTAAGTACGCAATCCGGAACAAAATGTCAGTTTTAGAGTTCTATTCTCATTTTGTGTGCATGGTACTCAGGTACTTTCATCTTTCCCGAAACGCACTATTAACTTTGTGATTTTTGAAAGCTTAAGGACCGATTCACATATTCAAGAAACGCGTAACAATCCGTTTTATTGTACACGAGGTGCATGTTACTGTTTAACATCATCATTATTACAGCCCTTCACAAGTCCACTGCTGAAGGTCGGCTTCCACCAGGGAATGCCACTAACAAAACAGTTTATATTACTTACCAAATATTCATTCAGCAACTTATAATGACTTAAAATGAAAAACTTGAAACTATTCATACCTATAACATATATACATAAACACTCACGCCTGTCACCCAGAGGGGTAGGCAGAGATTACGGACTTCCATTTGGCACGATCCTGACATACCTCTTTCGCCTCCTTTACATCCATATATCTACGCATACATGCTCGTCGGTTAAGGGTACTTCTAACGTGGCCCATTTTCAAAATATCGCCAATTTGGTCGACAAACTTTTTTCTAGGGCGTCCCTTCCCGACTCGGCCGTTCACATCTGCCATATAAATTTGCTTTGTCACTCTTTCATCATTCATTCTTTCTACGTGACCAAACCACCGAAGCATTCCTTTCTTAATCCTGGTCACAACATCATCTTGCATACCACATTTATCTCTTATCACGCAATTTCTCACCCTGTCATTCAGATTAAACCCTAGCATATTTCTTAAAGAACGCATTTCTACAGCATTTATTCTACTTTCGTGCTTCTTCTGCCACACCCAGCTTTCACTACCATACATTAACGTAGGGACTAACACAGCATTATGAATTACCATACGTGCCTGTTTTGACACATTCTGGTTCTTCATAATAGAGTGTAGTGCCCCATTCACTCTATTCCCTGCATTTACTCGTCGTTCTATATCCCTATCATATCTACCATCCCTGCTAAATACACATCCCAAATACACAAACTCATCCACTTGCTCAATTAACTCTCCTTCTATTCTTATTTCACATACCGTTTTGCTTTCTTCTCTTTCAAAAAAAAAATACCTATATAGTTACAATTGATAGTTTGTTTTAAAAAAGAGGTTTTCGTGCAATTCATTTACTGCAAAACGGCTCATAAACGATAGCGAAGCTTTTCTAAACATTGAAACACGGCATAAGTGGGAACTTTTACCTGTTACCTGTACTTTTTTCCTTTATCCTTTAAGTAATACACACCATATAAATAGTTGAAACTAACATAGCGGTATGACAATAACAAAAAAATTACTAACACCTATCTTTTGGGTTATATTAGATATTATTTCTTGTAAATAATACTGCTCGATATACTTACTGAACCTAACCCAAAACTTTACATTTCTTATCTTTTTTTAAATGTTGACAATCGCAAGTTATCTTCAATCAAATAACTAACTTTTTGCACCTAACAATTTCTTCCTTCCAGTACACATACGTGTCAGTACAATGAAGAGGAGGGCTCCATGCGAATGTTCCTGCGCGGGCGTCCCGTGGTCCTTTACGGCCCTTCAGACTTGGACGGTCTGGACCCGGGCAAGGTCGCCCCACCGCCACAGAACAAACTCAAACTAGAATGGGTGTATGGGTACAGGTGAGTCATACTATATAGCTTTTATTTTTTATTTAGTCACAAGCTTTTCCAAACCTCCGCTCGGCTACCACCAGCAGTATTTCCAGACCGATATTAATACCAACCATCTACTTAAAAGAATTGAGACAGTTGTCCGTGATGAACTGACAACAAAGTAAAATGTAACGAGTAAGTTATTGATATAATTGATTATATAGGATCTATGTTCTAGGACTAATCTTCTATTTAGGAGTCAGTCTAGTTTGGTATCACCCTCTTACTTACATCTACTGCCAAACATCACAGCATGTACTACTGTGTTTTGGTCTGAAAGGTATATTTTTATTTATCCATTCATTATTCAGGTAAATACACCTATTTTACACGTGGTAGAGCCAAGCTGTAATTATATTAGTAGTATAGTTGCAATTATATTAGTAGTACAGTTTTAGCAAGGACCACGCTTTTACAGAATACCAGTTTAAAATAGCAGCTTAATGCTGCTGTGCTAATGTGTTTCGTATGGTGTCGTATGAGTGTAGAGAATCGAAGACCCTTTTTACTGGAAACGAAAAATTCCACCTTAGTCCTCACGTGTGCATTTTGATTCGTAATCGAGGATAGATGTAGATGTCTATGGGACACAGCAACCACTTACCATCATGTTTACTGTGTGCTTGTTTGTCAGCCTATCTTATAAAAAAATGTTTTCATTCCATTTATTATTAAACATACTGGGCCTGGAACACAAATGTACTGTGTTCCAGTGCCTCATCTCTGGGCAATCTTGCCTTCCATATATTTTTTTAAAAAGAATATTAACCATGCTATAAACATTACTAATATTCCCCTTAACCACTCGTGGTAAGCTTAAATTGCTTGTGTTACGAGTGGTTCACGCCAGTAGTCGAATGGCGGATTCGAACCCACGACCTTTTTGAATTCGCGGTTCGCGCCCTACCATTAGGCTACTGTCGCTTAAATATGGAAACTAGGAAGCCACTGGTACTGTTTCGCACGCGACGCATCGGGGAGGCTATTATTTTGTGTAATATTGTTGCAAAACTGTCCACGAGCGCCTCAGCAAACATACGTAATGCACTGCAAAAGCGTAGCAGCCCCAACAACATCCTGAATTCATTGTTGTACTGAATACGCAGCGCATTGAGAGTTCGTAGAGTACACTTCGTCCACAGGCTGCAGGTGGAGAATATCTGACAGTAAGCTTTGAATAATATTATCTTGGTAACGTGGTAGAGCCATGCTGCAGCTATATTAGTAGTGTTGTTGTAGCACGAATGGGTCGGCTCGACCGTTGCAGAACCACGCTCTCATAGAATACCAGCGTGAAATAGCAGTTTAACGCTGCTGTGATTCGTATGATGAGTGTAGAGAACCGGAGACCCTTTTTACTGGAAACGAGGCATTCCATCTTAGTCCTCACAGGTGACAACGCATCTACATTTTGATTCGTAATCGAAGATAGATGTAGATGTCTGTGGGCCACAGCAATCACTTACCATCAGGTGGACTGTGTGCTCGTTTGTCACCCTATCCTATAAAAAAATGTTAGTACACTTAAAACTAGGGTTTAGTAAATTGCCAGAAATCATTATTCGAACCAGAGTGACCAATATAGCCTAACGGATTAGTAAGCTGAAGTGGCAATGGGCCGACCATATAGCTCGAATAACCGACAACCGATGGGAAGAAAGGTTCTTGAGTGGCAGCCTCGTACCGATATGCGTAGTGTAGGGCGACCCCCACTAGATGGAGTGACAACCTGGTAAGACATGTAGGAAGTCGATGGATGCAGGTTGTAGGTGGCTCAGGACCGTGCTTTGTGGCATTCCTTATGTGAGGCCTATGTGTTTGCCTAAGTGAACTTGTGAAGGGCTGTAATGATGATTATGATGATGACTTACTAAAAGTCACTTTTTATTTACTACTGGTTCGGAAAGTACCTAAGTCCCGGGAAGGATCTGCAAGAAACCCATCAGAATAATAAGTAATAGCTCCAGAACCCCCTCGGGACAAAAATATCAATATTATGGCCTTTCCAATGAATACCCACATAATATAACGGTTATATATCGATTGTGTTCGAGCTCGTCAAGGCTATCTGTGACTGATCAAATCCCGCATCAATTATGGACGGCGCGGTATTTCAGTACGTTCGTGTAACTCTCGTGGGAATACTTGCCAGTGGGAATACCGTAACTACGTTGTATTTTTTACGTAATACAGCGAAACTCAAAGTTTAACTGTGCCCAGCAGTGGGCCTGAAACTACTCTGAAACATCAAACCAAAACCAAACACGATTTCCAACCGGCTTATACAATCGCACTACTGCTTCTACAGTAACTATGTTTTTTATAGAGTAAGTTAGATAAACGAGCACACAGTCCTCTTGATGGTAAGTGGATGCAATGGCCCATAGACATCTACATCTACCCACCATTAAGAATCAATTACAGACGCCAAATGCAGACGCGTTGTTAGCCCTGAGTACAACGACGGAATGCCTCGTTTCCAGTAAAAAGGGTCTCCGGTTCTCTTAACTGTAGATCACATCATACCAAGAAGCAATATTGTGCTGCTATTTTGTGACAGCGTGGCCCTTCCGCGGTCTAGCGGATCTATTCGCGCTACAACTATATTATGCGTGGCTCCACCACGTAAAAAGTACAATAACGTGTGTGGCTTAAGAATATCCGTTACCCCATATCGTCCCGTAGACAGAAGCTAAAACAGCCGAACCGCCTGCCGTCTTCTGTAAAATCCCTATCAGGCAATCTATAAGAGGCCTATGTTAACCCGGGGACTATTACACTGTAATAGAAGGACGTATAGATGAATAATAGATGGAAGGATAACCGATTGTTCAGACCGTTTGGGCGCGTCATTGTTCTACCTAAATTGAAAATCAATCATTCAGTGATGCTATCGCATTGCGTTACAATTGTAAGTTACATAAAAAAATTGTTGATATCCATTAACGTAATCGTTCATTATTTTTATCAAATTAGAAAAAAATATTTTATATTTTTTTGTAATATTGTATATTGTTCGTAATTAACTTAGATTGAATTTGATAGTACTATTTCTAGTAAATATATATCTCATTAGTAAACTTTAGTGTACTGTTCGAATATGCACTGCCAAAAACTAAAACATATAATAACTTAAACTTTTTATAAAAAGAACAAAATGACTTCAGAACTAAAAAAATGATTTCCACATAATAGCTTCTCAAGTCCGTGTGTCTCAAAGAATTAATTTACTGTCTATGTACTTCAATTTAAATGACTTATTTATTATAAACAGCAAAATGCTTCTACATCCAGCTTCTAACAATACCTGCCTAACCCATTACAGACGGTCCCACATTGAACTCGCTCAAACCAATGGTGATGGCGGTTATGAAATTATTATATTACGATTACGCGGTTGTGCGGTCTGATTTCCTTTTAGTAAAGTATGAAAGACAAACAAGCGCACAGTCTACGTGATAAATAAATAAATAAATAAACACACCGAAATGCAATATGGTGTGATAGATTATGCAAGGGACGTGTATATTTGGTTTAGAAGATATCTGGGAGAGTCCGACTGCTTAATACTGTCAGGTATTACGTGTCTTATGACTCTGAACATCCAAATCAACTTTCGGGTCCAGGTGCTCCAGGTGTGGGTACCACGATAGCCTCTGATCTACAACGATGCCCAGATATTTAGTGTGAGACTTTTTCAATTGATGGGGAGTCAAGCTTTGTTTTTAGCATCCTCAGTAAACGTATGAATTTCAAGGCCCAAGTCAGTCTGTGGGCTGCTAGTTGTTGCTAAAGCAAATAAAATTTGTCTTAGCTGTATTTAGAGTGAGGAGATTTTGTTGAAATCACAGAGCTACTCGAGTGATAGTTAGTGGATGCTGTGGCCCAAAGACTTTTTTATCACTGATTAAGAACCAATACGCTGATGCGTTGTAACTCCTGAAAACTAAGGTGGAATGCTTCAATACCAACAGCATTTGTCTCCGGTTCACGTCATTCACCGCAGGAACCACGGGAACATTATGCAACTATTTCATAAAAAGTAAGTAAAGTTACAGCCTATATCCGTCCCACTGCTGGGCACAGGCCTCTGCTCATTTCTGAGAGGGTTTTAGGGCAAGGAATTGTCCGCCGCGCTACCCCAATGCGTGTTGACGAACTTCGCATGTCTTTGAAATATTTTTTTTCTTACTGACATGCAGGTTTCTATTTCATACTGGTACTTTATTACTTGCACGGCGGTAAATGAAAACATCGTGAAGAAAATATCGGTTTATCCCAGAAATAAAAAAAATTAAAGACGTGAAGTCTACCACTTGTGGCAGCGCGGTACACTCATTCTCGTCTTAAAACTTTCTATGAAATGTGAAGAGTCCTGTTTCTAGCAGTAGAACGTATAGAGATTACTAATATAGGTACGATATATCAATATAATATCCTTGATCTTGTTGTTTTAAGCGCAACTGCTGATCATGTCTCGGATTCGAATCCCAGTTCGGTCAGGGCATAAGAAGTAATTGGGGTTTTCTGTCATCAAGATCCTAGTAGCAGCGCGGAATCAGTGAGCTGATGGTTTTTCGCCACTTACCTCGAAGATACGTAAGGCCGACAGAACTACGCCTGGTCTGTCTTCGTTCGTGTCAGATTGCCGTTCCATCGGGTTTTGAGAGTGAGGGAGTAGTGGGTGTTTACGCATTTACTCGTGCACTGATCATGTCCGGCGCAGATGGCTAGTCTCCATTGAGCCTGGCCTGTACTATAGATATACTATATTATACCATACTATACGTTACTATATACTATATCTTACTTTACAGTGATCTCGCCTATGTCTGGACAGAATCGCCTTCTTAAATAGCGTACAAAATTGTCAGCCAACTGAAATTCATTGAGCAATTTAACAATTGCTGTAACGAATAAGGCAATATAACTGTCTTGCTACCTACGTCACGCCTCACAGGCGAACC